GCAGCAGGCCGCCCGCCTTCCCTCCTTCACAGCGTTTGTGTGGAAGTGCGTCGGCCATATGGAATTCAACTCCCGCCTTCCAATTGGTCTTCTCCCATTTCTCCTCTCTCTCTCTCTCTCTCTCTGTCTTCTTTTTTTAAGATTCGGAAGCAGTTCTCTTAGCAACCACAGAACGCACCCTTAATCACAGCCCGGGCAGCAGATGTGCCAGAGCCCTGCCCCCGGGACGGTCCACTGAGCCTCCTGGGCCCTGCTCCTGGGCCCTGCTCCTGTTGTAGGGGAACTCCTGTCCCACCTGCACGGAGGGCTGCAGAGCACAGCCCTGTCTTTGGGTTGCTGGGGCAGAACTTCCTTAGGTGGCCTTTGGGGATCCTGGCTGGTTTGGCAGGACCTCTGTTGGCATGCAAATGTAGAGGTGGCTGTGAAAAGCTGCTGTCCTCGCTGCCTGGGGGGGGGATCCACCCCGGTGCTCTGCAATCTCATTGTTTCATCCTCCCTCTTAAAAAAAAAAAAGCAGGAGGGGGCGGACTCTTGCTTCTTCCAGGGTCATTACCAACCACAACGTGAGCTCAGTGAGCTCTCGTGAGCTCCTCTGATTCTCTCAAAGGGAAATATAGGTCGCGTTCAGAATCCCAGATGCCGGCATGCCTGCCGGGCGCTCCCGGGTCTGCTGGGCGCCCTGGCTGGCGCCTGGATGTTTGCTTCCCTGACTTTCTTACCACATCTGCGAGCTGGCGAACAGACTTGGCTTTTTCTTTTAAATTTTGTTTTTTAAAAAAAAAAATAGAAAAGCACAGTGCATTATATTTAGCCGCAGGCGCACGGAGCACCAGCCCGGGTTTCCTTGGATAACTGGGGCTGGAGCTCACAGATACCTCCCAGCGTCTCCTGGCCGCCAGCTCGCTTGCTCGCCCGCCCGCCCGCTCGCCCGCCCGCCTTTAACCCTGTGCGGTGCCGCTCCTCAGCGCCCAGCTCAGCTCACATGACGAACGCCGCCAGAGGTAGCCGGCTCTGAGAGCAGCCCCGTCAACGGCAGTTGGTTCCCAGCTGACAGACAGAATATGGGGTGGGCTTTGTCACCAGCACGCAGGGTCTGGCATGCCCAGCGATGCTCGGGAGCGCTCAGTGCCCAGACGCCCGCCGCCACTCCCAGGGTCCCAGCCGCTCCAGCACGGAGGGGCCGGGCTGCGCGCCTAGCCTTCCTCCCCTCCGAGAAGGTCATATAATGAGCGGACCGCTGCCAAAGTCGGAGGGAAAATGAAGTCTTTGTTAAATGCCTTCACAAAGAAGGAAGGTAAGGAGGGGGCTGCCGGGAGCCTCGGGCCAGGGAGCTGCAGCCTTGGGGCCGGGGCTGGGGACTTCCAGTTCTTCCCAGGACCACGGTGCTTAGTGGAGTCGGGCAAGGGCATCTTTGTGGTGTGCGATGCCGTTCGGCTCTGGTGGGTCTGGGAGGTGGACACGGTGGAAGGTGCCCTTTCATTCGACTGGTTTCTAAGCCACCAGCCTTGGCAGAACCACGTTCTGGAATGTCCACCCATGGTGACTGTGCCGGAGGGGGCTCGTTAAGAACGGAGTCCTGGGAAAATCGAGGAAGTTTTGAGTCTAGGCTGCCCGTTACCTGAGGGCTGCTAGCACCTGCGCGGGGAGGTCAGGGCACATGGCCGCTGCCCCAGATGGGCAGGTGCTTCAAAGCCACTCCCCAGCTCCCCTTGGCCGCCCCGGCTGGCAATTTCATGGAGTGGATGGAGAAGCCTCGTGGCGGACTTTAAAAGTGCATACGGTCTTTGTCATTCCTTGTGGGGCTTTTTTATTGTGGGGAAAAAATGTATAAATAAATGCATGTAAGACGGCTAAGAAAATATCCACCCACCCAGAGTTTGCAGATTGCCTGAAAGAAGGAAACAGTTGGGTGGAATATTAATCATTTTCAGACAGGAAAAGAGTTATTTTTAACCCTTTTCACAAAAAAACCATCATTTCCATGGATAGTACCAGTCAGTTTTGCCAGACAGGGAGCTCTCGTCCTTAGGAAATCAGGAGGTTTCTGCAGAGGTTACTTTAAAGGAATGAGGGAGTCCTCCCCAGCCCCGGCTCCTCCTATCACCAGCACCGGGGAGATCTCGGTGCTCGGGAAGCTAATTTAGTGGGGATCTTGGTAATTAAGCAGGGTGATTTTCATTAAAACGCTCGCCCTAATGTCACCTAGGTGATTCCGTTTGAGCAACTTGCCTGGTCTTGGGGGAAGACGTATAGGAAAATGTTCCAATCCGGAACCCCCCCTCCCCCGGGCCAGCTCCCACGTGAGCGCCTGGTCCCCGGCTCTCCCCCGGCAGACCCGTTCCTGGGAATCTGTTCGAAAGCAGCCTTTGCTTAGGTTCATCTTCTCACACCGGTCACCAAAATTCACCTGCTGGGACTTGAACCGTGGGCTCCATGGAGAATGGGAGGATCTCAGCCCGGGGGCCATGGTGGCAGGTGACTTCTGCATCTGTCCCGTCTCCCCTGGACTCTTCCTCCCCCGGATCCATGGCTTTTGCAGGAGGGGTGCTCAGCCCTCACCCGTCCTGGGTCACAGGAGGTGACGGACTGCGTCGCTCTCCTGCTCTCGAGGCCGGGCAGGGTCCTCCCAGTAGCCCAGGCCCCGCTGTGTCTGACTCAGCTTGTGGTCTTGCAGCCAGCAGGGTGGCGTGGCCCTCATCCCAGGGGTGACGGGTGGCCCTGCCTGAGGCTGCGGGACCTTCAGCCCCCTGCCTGGTCCTTCACCCCAGCCCGGGTCTGGCTTCTCTGAGGTCCCTAAAGCTCCAGCGCCACTCCTCCTGCAGAACCTGGGCCGTGGACTCTGGTGTCTTGGCCTCTGCCTGCTCAGGGGCAGAAGGGCCAGTGGGGTTTCCCTCAGTCCTGAGAAGCACCCCTGGGTGGCCTGGCCCAGGTGTGGCTCTTCTCCTAGAGGCTACTGCAGGACCCGGGCCGGCCGCCCAGAGCAGCCAGCCTGTCCTCCTGCGTCTCCAGCCGGCCTGGCTGACCGTTGTGGGCTCCTTCACTGGAGAAAGTAGGGGTGGGCCTGAGGTCCCCGGGGGCCTGCTGCCCCGACGTCTTCCTCCCACAGAGGGCTTCCCCCACGGATAGGGGCCCGAGGCACCAGGCTGCCTGCGTGGCAGACCCTGACCCTGACTGGCCCCACCCTCCCACTGTGCTGAACCAGGACACCAAGTCCAGCCTGTGACCGCAGGGAGCTTTCTGCCCTTCTGTGCAGTGTGCCAGTTTGTCCCAATTCTGTTTCCTGGGCACTTCCCGGCGTCACTCCTCTCTCACTGTCCCAGGAGAGACCTGCCAGCCCACCTGTGTGCCCGGGAGCTCCACCAGCGCCAGGAACCCTACCAGGGCCACCTCTGTCCCCCATGAACTCTACCAGGGCCACCTCTGTCCCCCAAGAACTCTACCAGGGCCACCTCTGTCTCCTGTGGGGTCTGATAGGGCTCCTCTGTCTCCTTGACCTCTTCCAGGGCCACCTCTGTCCACTGTGACTCTGCCAAGGCCACCTCTCTCCCCTGTGGGCCTGCCAGGGCCACATGTGTCCTCTCTGAGCTTTGCCAGAGCTCCCTTTATCCCTGTGAGCTCTTCCAGTCCCACCTCTGTCCCCTCTGAGCTCTGCCAGGGCCACCTCTGTTCCCTTGAACTCTGTCAAGGCCACCTCTGTCCCCTGTGACCCCTGCGAGGGACTGTCCACTGGCCCTGAAATAGGCACAACCGTCCTCGGTTCCTCTGATGGGCCTCATGGTGTTCTCTGGCCTTGGGCACCAGGGGCAGATGTCCAGCCTGTCCTTGGCCACCCAGTGTACACAACACGTCTCCTTGAGGACATTAAGGTCCCTTCCCTGGGTGGGCTCCCTGGAGGACTAGGTGGCCTCTTGCTTCACGGCTCTGGGTCGGCCCAACAGCTGTGCTGGCCTTTGGCAGCGTAGACCCCAGGCGAGTACAGAACCTGCCGAGGACATTGACAAGCAGGGGTGACACCCAGCATCCTTGGCCTCTCAGGGGCTGGTGGCATATCTGTCCCCTGGAGCCTGGAGGGCCCTTGTGGAAGGGCAGCCCTCTGAGCACCAGGGCTGCTGCAGGGTGGACACCGCCCTGGGGCTCCCCAGGAGAGCCGTCCCCTCCGTGTCCCCGGGCACACTGGGCTCGGGCAGGCGAGGGCTGGCCTCTTGCAGACGTCCCAGAACCAGGCGAGGTGAGCCCAGCTGGATGGCTGAGGAAGGGCCCTGCTGGGGCACTGGGAGCCTGGTTCGCCTGCCGCGACCCTGTGGCCAGGACCTCGGGCCTGGGCCGTGCGTAAAGAACAGACGGTCTTTGTCCCGGGTCCTGGGGGCTGGAGTCTGGGTCCAGGTGTCCCGGGCTGGCTCCCCAGGCTTCTCTCCGTGGCTGGCCGACGGCGGTTCCTTCCTGTGTCCTCGCGTGGCGTCCTCTGTGTGTCGTGTCCTGTCTCCTCTTACAAGAACGCCACCCTGTGGGACTCGGGCCCGTGCTGGTGACCCATTTTCACGTCACTGCCTGGGTGAGGGCCTCTCTCTAGAAGCCGTCCCCTTGTGAGGCCCAGGGCTGGACCCAGCCTGTGGACAGGCAGGGATTCTCCCCACACAGAGGCCAGCTCCGTCCCCAGGAGGGGACACGGCGGTGCTGAGTGTCCCAGCAGCCTGTTGGACCGGGCTCTGTCCCACGTGCGTCTGAGCCAGCTGCCTCTTCCCAGGCTGCGGAAGGGGTGGGCGCTGGCGATGGAAGCTGGGACCCCGGTCCCTTCCATCTGGGCCTGGCTGGAGCCCTCTGCCGCCTGCACCCCTGCCTCCGTGTCGGGGGTGAGTCCTGGCCTCTGGGAGCCCAGATGGAGCCCCGCGGAGAGCTCGGCCCCTCGCCCTCGGGTCGCCTGGGGCTGGGAGGCATGAGCCCGGCCTCGGGGTCACCCCCTGGACGCACTCACCCACCTCTTTTCACTCTCTCCCGCCCAGTGCCCTTCCGAGAGGCCCCGGCCTACTCCAACCGCAGGCGGCGGCTCCCCAACACGCTGGCCGCCCCCCGGGTCCTGCTGCGCTCCAACAGCGACAACAACCTCCATGCCAGCGCACCCGACTGGGCCGTGTGCCCCACGGCCACCGCCCACCGCAGCCTCTCGCCCCAGCTGCTGCAGCAGATGCCCAGCAAGCCGGACGGCGTGGCGAAGAGCGTGGCCAGCTACGCCCCCGGGCCCCGCAGCCGCTCCCCGTCGCTCAACAGGCTGGGCGGTGCCGGCGAGGACGGCAAGAGGCCGCAGCCACACTGGCACGTGGGGTAAGGAGCAGCGGGGCCAGGCCTCGGGAGGGGACCTCGCGCTGAGGGGCCTCGCGCTTCCGCCGCCCAGGGCTGGAGCCAGGGAGCCTGGCTGCTGCTCGCGGGGGCCTCTGGGCGGGTGCGCCCTCCTGAGCCTCGCGCCTGGTGGGCAGCTCTGCAGGCCCAGGGCAGCTGGGGGGCTCCTGGGAGGAGCCAGGTGAGGGTGCCAGCCCGGGCCTCCTTTCCTGCCCTGGCACACCCACATCTTGGTCTCCAAATGAGACAGCAGGAGGGCAGGGGGCAGCAAGTGGGACCGCACCCGGCGACCCCTCGTGAGGTCTGTCAGCCCAGCGCACCTGTCCGCAACGCCCCGCAGAGTGGAGCAGAGCCCTGGCACAGGCCAGGCCAAGGCTCAGAGGCCGCCGGGATGGTCTTAGCCAGAGGGTGTGACTGCCCAGTACAGCAGGGGCTCCCGGAGCCCCTCGGTCAGTCTCTGAGGCAGTCCAGGTGACAGGAGCCTCAGGACAGGCCAGCTCTAGGCCAAAGGGACCCCGTACTCTCTTGCCCCTGGACATCCAGGGAGCTGCACTGGTGCCCAGCACCAAGCCCTGGGCACAGTCGGCCTCGTCACCCCCCCTTCCAAGACTCCTAGGCAAGGAAGGGGCTTTAGGTCTGGGTTTGATGTTTGGGGACTCCAAGGGACAGCAGTGTCGGTCACCATCACTTTCCACACCAGCTAGTGCTTGCTGAGACCCACAGCCCGCACGGGGACCCCACTCCTGCTTCAGCCTGAGTCACACAGCCAGCGCGGGGCCAGACCAGGTCCCAGGGTCACACAGCCAGCGCGGGGCCAGACCAGGTCCCGGGGCCAGGGCCTGGTGAAGTGGAGTTCACATGGGCGTGGGCCCCTGGGCCTGGGTTTCCCTGCTGACGTTTGGTCTAGCACTTGGTGCTTGGGGCCTGGGGCCACCCGTAGCCCCTCCCAGGCTCCTCCCCGGCCCCCGCTGCTGCCTGGGTTCCCCATTCTGACCACACCAAGTCTTTCTGGACTAGGTCCTGCCCTTGGGCCAGTCCTGAGCCACACAGC